TTGTGGCAGCAAATTAAGAAATGAATGTGATACGCATCGGAATTCACAATCGAATTTTTGCGCGGTTCTTTCTCTATATTTTTTTTTGTTCTTTTGCTTCTATCCTTTTCTCTGCTTTTGATGAATCATATTATCTCACAAGCAAAACAATATAATTATTGCTCATGGGTATTTTGGACGATTAATTTCAAAATATACATTTCTAGTTGAGACCAACCAAAAAAATGCAGCATTCACCATGTGCGTGAATTCGACGAAGAAGCGCAACGGTCAAACGGTATGATTCAGAATAACTTTTATTGTTTATTGAAATGCCAGCGATGTGAAATGTTGATTGTTCGTTGCCAAAAATTTATGGGCGTTAGATTATTTTGTGCCTCTACGAACGAAGCAAACTAATGAAGAAATCAATTGTAGGCAATGGACATACTACAATATCGTTTATTAACTGTACCGAAAAAAAAAATTGGTGACAATATTGGCGCCATATAAATTATATGCTGACAATTGAATAGAAAAGGTGTCTGATTGGTTAGGAAACGCACTCACATGCAACACAAATGAGAGAAAGTGCCGACAAATAGAGGATCTATTATTATTATTGTATGAGCTACACAAACACAATTCAATAAAAATTGATCGTCATTGACACACTGTGTGCCTTTCGGCTTTTCACGTCGATCGTTCTCTCGGAACGCTGAATTGTCCACTTTTATGAATAAAAATGTGTATTTGTTGGACGTGTTTTTTTCTATCTCTCTCTCGATTGAAAAGATTGAAAACAAACGCTTCATTTCGGGGCGGCAAATTAACAAGAGCAAGAGATATAGGGAGAAAGAGAGAAAGAGGGAGAGAGTGAAAAGAATGAAAAAATGACAGAAAATTTATGGTAAAAATCATCCTATTGTTTGTTATTGAATAAGACATATATATATTTCTATCTATCGACCATTTGTGTGTGGCTATGCACCGCCGGATCCTTTCTTTTGCTATAAAAAAATGTTTGAATGTTTATGTTCATTTGAGTTGTTGTCATTATTCTTTTAAAAACTGTTTTCCACTTAAATTTCAAATGTGAAACTCTTCACGAAGAAATTGGTGAGTAAAAAGGATTCACAGATGAAAATTTGCAAGAGTATAATCGTATAGAACCTTTTGAAAAATTCATTCAGTTAAACTCATAGAAAAACAAACATAAACAACTAAAATTTAATTCAACTCTTTTTTTGCATATTTAATCCTTTAGTAAGTAGTGGAAAAGAGACTGGTAAGTCTGTCAAGAAGTAGCTTAGCCCATATGAAAATCCTAATAAAACTTTCTACGAAACTGTAAATCAATATGAAATATATGCAAAATACACATACACACACACACACTCGTCCATACAAAAATTCATGAATGTCTTATTTGTAGAAGTAAAGCAAACGAAACGATACAATTGTTCCTAATTTTACCTTTGTCCGTAAGGTATTCCCCATCGAGTTAAAACGCTTAGAATTAGCTTCAATGTAATACTCATGCTGTTAATGCCCACACAGTGCACTATTTTTCATCACCAAACCTAGAGGCTAAAGTGACAGTAACTGGCTAAAATATAATTTTCATGCACAATATTTTCGGTATGTTGTTGACTCAGAATGAGACTATGCGTACATTTGATGAGATAAAGTCTAAATGCCATCAAAATGTGATATTAAAAACTTTTACAAGAATTAACACCCTAAAACATGCTTTCGTTCGGCTTAATAGCTGAACGATGGTCATAAGTTTTATTTTTCGTCGAAACATATTTGTTTTAAACAGTTTGACTCATTTTGCGATCATTTCAAATAAATTTGATGTGTTTGGTCTCATAGAATTCGTCTGGCTGCGAGACACTCGCAGAATACGTGGAAATGAAAGAAATCACACGAGAAAAAAAATATAAACATTGAAATGGAAAATACACCAGACAAATTAATTAACGTCCGGCCTGGTCTGCTTGTGCGATTCTTACTCATTTTCTGTGTGATTTGTTGGATCATTTTGTTGGTGGATTCGTGCGTCAACAAGTGAAACAATGTAAATTTTCTAAGAATTATTTTCGGCGTTTCAACGGCGATTGAAATATTTTATTTTTATATTTGCAAACTCGAAATTTGGTTGTGTCAGGCAAAGAAAAAGATGAAAGCCGATTGACTTGATTTCAAAAACCACTTATCTCCAGCAGTTTTACAAGTTGCATTTTCGCAGAACGCTACGAAACTATTGATTATACCAAATATGTGACGTCTGAAAATGTCCGACTTTTTCACGGAATTTTTTCTTCATTTATCCTTTCTGGGGAATAGATTTTTGACGCCGGAAATTCAAATGAATTTTTAACGAATCATGTGACTACATGAATTTTCTCTCAACCAAATTGAATTGATCTCAATCTTCATATTTTGTAATACAAATTAAAGAAGTCTCGCAATCTAATCTTTGGTTTGTTCACAAGAAGAAGAATCTCTGATTACATCTGTCATCCAGCAAATGAATGGTCGAAACATGTACATTTTTTGTGAAACATTAGAAAAATGTAACAAAATTCGTTTGAAGATCAAAAGCGGAAAAGCGAAAACAAATGACAGAATAAACGCCGCAAATGACCCAAGTGATGCATAATATGTGTTAAATGTAATTAAGCGCAGCATGCGCCACACTGAAAAACGAAAACGGTATATCACAGGAAGTGTGAGCGACAATCATGCGCGCGCACACACTACCAACAACAACATCAAAATCCATACGTGTTTATTGCACAAATGCAGCTTAACGAGGTCCAAAATGAAATATATTGAACATATTACAGCAGCAGATGTTCGAATGGACGGAGTGACCGTTGTTGTTGCTGTTGTTTTTATTTGGTGTTTGCCATGCTCATACATTGCGGCTGTGGCCAACAATATTTATTTTAACATCATCATTGCCGTCGTGTCGACGGTAAACCAACATCGATACACTCCGTCTCGTGTGATTGTGGTGTGCGCTTACAGTTTTGCTTCGAATATTTCTTATGATATCGATGATGATGGTGATGATACTCAGGTATACACATTCAAACATACGTGCATGTTGGCATGCCGTTCGTCCATCGACAAAAGCTGCCAGAGTATTACATTTCACATTCGCATGTGTGCTCGACGTTTGCCGTGTGCTGTTCGATTCGAAAGACTCTATGCAATACAGGTGAACGAGCGAACACATATCGTTGTAGTCGTACCATCCACTCAGAGACTGAAAGCATGTTCAAGCGCTGCAAATTCCAACGGATACCAACATAAAGCATGTTTTTTTATGTTTTTGGTTTTTTTTATTTCATGCAGACACACACATGTACAAGTTCATTTTTCTCAGTTCTTTTTCATTATATTATGTGCCACTGGCTTGAGCACATTAACTGAACGAATTTCGATGAGTTCGAACACCGAACCGAATCGGAGCACGGCTCTTTCTCTGTCTCGCTCAGTGACTGCGCTCAATGACATCGAATAGAGAGGAAAATAAAAAGAAAAACATACTTTCCGCATCTTGTATATATATATAACGATTAAGCTCCACCCGATTTCTGTGTGATATTCATTCATTCATTTCCTTCTCTCTCTTTCGGCATTTTTGGCCAGGCCCATTTAGTTTTTTCCACGCTGTCATTATCACCTCATGAAACGTTTATTATCTCTTAAATTTTCATTGATATATGTATTATACGGCGGAAGAAATTCAAACATTCACTCAATATTTAAATGAAAATGCATATCACACTTCTGAATTGAAAACACCAATTTACGTAAAACGAATCTGTTTTTGTACCCTCAAATAATAAGTGTGATGAAAATTAAGAGAAATATACATGTTGGAATTCGTAAAGGACTAGATAACACAAATTATATTGTCGGAACATGGTAACTGATGTTAATTATGATCCTTGTTTAGCGTACCATGGAATTTCTGTAATGACTGGATATGCCTCTATTGCTAATAATGACCTAATTAGTTTGAAAAGCGAAAAGACACTTACTTTTCATTCATTCAGATTCAACGATATATAATTGCCCAAAGTATCGGCCGCAGAACGTCCAGTCTACTTGAACAGATTGAACGAAACATGCTACAATGTATAAAAACTGTCTGCGTTCTTACATATTTCGGCATTTACGTCATAAACTTGTATGGAGAGTATATAAATAGTATAGTGTGGTATTATTGTATAGTTGACCACTTCCAATTCACACGAAAGAGATTGACTAATTTAAAGCACTTTTCTTCATCAAATGTATTGACAAATTCAATTCAAAATAATATTTTAATTAGGCTCCGTATTTCGCCGAATAATAAATACGTCAGTATTGTGTATTTCCCTAAATTTACGTCATTGGTCCAAGCATTGTGTTTGATGTTGGATCAAAGGAGTAAAAAAAACCATAAAACTGCGATAGTACTTATCGTTTGTGTTATTATATAGGCGTTTAGAATGAAAATAATTACGTTCGTCGGCGTCGGCTGAGTGGAATTCAAGTCATTCATTCACTCTCGTTCCGTTTCATATCGGAAGCTGATAAAAATGATTTGAAACAAAAACATAAATTAAGCGAAAAATTGTACTTCAATCTGGTACGATGCTGATATGTATGGTTGGTACTTGTTCGTGAATGGTGCAACATTGCTGATGCAATATCGTCTGATTGTTGGATATTTTTCGTACCAACAATACGCGTGAAATCCCAAAAAAAAAGTTCCAGTAGATGGGAGGATACCAAGGCGCCAGAAGTTGATCATTAGGTCAAGATATATAACTTGATCACTATGGAAATTGAAAAGAATCAAATCAGCAACAAGTTGAATGAAATGCAATCTATCACAACGACGAAAAGGAGTATCCATTGTGCCAAGTGGATGGAAGAGAATATAAATCGACCATTTATGGGATGTTGTTGTTATTAGTTGTGAGTTTATATCAAAGATCAGTAATATCATCACACCATTCATAAATACGTACACACATACTATGTGATATGTCTGCCTCTCTCTATGCATACGTTCATCGAGACTTAGGCAAAAACTGAAACACCGAAGCGACAAATACGACGACGATAACGAAGAGAAACGAAAAAGACAGAAAAGAAGAGAAAAAAAAACAGCACACAATAGCACAATACAACTGAAAATCGCCTGAAACAAAAGCAAATTCACACACATATGAGCTCTTGCCATATGAGAAGAGAGCACTCTTTCACACATACGAGCACCTATACGTCTGGCCACAGAAAACATATCTCTCACTCTCTCGATACATTTGAGTGACAAATGAAATAAATAAGCGGCAAAAGCAACGGCACAACAAGCAAAGTGTGATACACATGTGTAACTCGCAGAAAAGAGAGACGTAAATGTGGGAACATCGATTGTTTCTGCATATAGCGGATACTTTCGGAATCGAACTTTACTATACACAAGACAGCACAGCACACAACGTGTGTGTCGACAGGAGTAGTTGAAGAGACTTGAACTAGAATATAATTATTGCCTTAAATTTATTTGTAATTCGATTCGCTTTCGATGAACACACGGTTGCGCTCTCGATGTGATAACCGTACGTAAACGCCAACAGCACCAGCAGCAAGAAACAATTTTTGAAACAACTTTAATTCACTCTTCATTCATCAACACCATTCGAGTATTTATATTGTGACAAGCAACAAGTGATAATAGCGGTGTTAAGTGACCAGGTACAATTCTGGGGATTTTTTCTTCGTATTTTTTTCTGCAAGTGATCAAGTGAAAATTAAATTATATAGTTAAAATTTTTGAACTCAAACAGGTGCGTGTACAATTTATTTATGATATGGCCAATGTGCCTATTGCACAATGTTAGTTATTATTAACATCGCAAGCATAAAATTGCATTTTTTTTCCTTTGCGAATGGATTTTTATGTATCACATGAAAAATTTCAAGATGAGAATATGTGAAAAATTATGCGAAATTAATAATTAACTAACATTGCCGGGAAATTTTTTTCTCAAATGAATTTTTCAACTAACGTCAATTTTTTTCCCTTTCAAATCAATCGAAAAATAAATGTTTCAGATAAATCGAGAAAAATCTGTGCAAATTAAAATCAATCTATTCTCAAACATTATGTGCCAAGTTAAAAGTAATCCAAATATAAACGTGTTTTCCGGGATTATTGATCGCGATCAAAATATTATTCCAACATACTCACGAACCAAAAAGGCGCGTCGATCAGTCTCAGCAGCAGCATCATCACATTCAACAGGTTTGATGCCGAACGAAGTGAAAAATTCAACGGAAACCACTTGGACAAGCCATTTTCAAATCAATTCTCATAAAAATTGTGATTATTTTCTGAACGAAGACAAAATTAAACGAAGTGATCTTTGTGATAAGGAAATGATGACATCAAATATGGATCAAAGTAGCTGCTTTTCATCAAATTCACAACGTTCACACCATAACAACAGCAACAATCACAGAAATGATAGCACAAGGGTGCTCAGCAACAGCAGCCAACAGAAAGAGAATGTCAATTTAGAAAATACTCCATTCAGCAAAATGATTGTTGATTCGATTCATAGAAATTCATCAACGCACAGACATCGAACAGCCAAAAGAAACGGAAGCACAAGTAAGTTTCGTGACAATTAAATAATAATAAAAAAACGCATCAAAACAGTGAACAAATGTTTCACAAATCTGAATAGAAGTGTTATCTACAATCGTAACGTGTTACATTTTACTGTAAAAAAAAAACAGACAGTTTGGAAATACGCAATCACAAACTGATAAAGAATATAAAAAATTCTAATTTTTTTCTAACTGAATGTCAAGCATTTCCATGGAATTAGACTTCAATTTCTTTAGAAATGTGTTTTTTTTTTCATTTTGTGTTTCGATTTCAACACTGTCTGCGATCGATCAAAATTTTCAGTTCTAAATTTAGTGTGTTGTTCTTTATTAGTCATCATATAAACGCCATCCGTTCGTATAATAAAATAGTTAAAATCGAATAAAAAAATTCCCTATGTCTCAGACACATAAATCCGATGATCAAAAAACCAAAGCCAGATCGCGAAGACAATAATATGTTAAAATGTGCAAGCACGTTCGTCAATACCATCAAAAACGGAACTGAACCAACACTAAATTCAATGGAAATCGCACGTACACCTCTTTTTTTTCACTGTTCATCGTGTGTCTTTGCACGAGCGCACCAGCTATGTATTGTTATAACAGGGCTGATTTGCCCAATGACTCAACAATTGCTCAGCGTGAATAACACACCGAATAACAAGCGTAAAAACACATAACACACTGATCGGACAGCATATTTGACGAATATATACGCACTTCATTCATTATTACCAATTGATTCCCGTTGTGGCCATAGGCCAATTGTCTGGTGTGTGTGTGTGTTTTTTTTTTTTTTGTTTTATCTTTGTATACAATTGAGTGCGGATATTTCCTGACGCATGTTCTTCTGCGATTGACTTTCAAGCCTTTGTTTGATCGGCTTTCTTCAATCGATCGACGTACATTCTTTTTGCCGGTTCGGTTGTCATCACGCGAATGAGATGTAAATTTTGTTTTCTTTCATTGAAAATCAATAAATCCAAATGAAATGTTTTGTGTGCATTTTGGAATTTTTGATGAAATTTGTTGACGTTACTTTCTTGATCTCTTGATATCGATTCGTGTACGTGCGACAAATAAGAAATTTGACCATTTTTAGACAGAGTTTTGTGTATGCGATCGCATTGCGACCACTTCAGCGGTCCTTTATATGTATATCGGATTAGCGCGCTATGATCAAAAGATTTAAAGTGACGAATAAACATTTATGATCATTTCAGTTCCGTCGTGTGTCTTTTTTTTTGGCACGCAAATTCCAATATTGCTTTGTTTTTATTCTCTCTCTCTCTCTCTATTTATCTTTCAACGCATATTTTTTAAATTGACACCAAGTGACTTCTACTTTAGGCAATCCAAACGAAACGTTTGCACTTTCTGATCGTGGCCGGTAGAGTGTTTCACTTTTTTATAGTTTTTTCCTCTTTTCTTTTTTTGGCAAAAACGTTATATAGTTTTTTGTTAATGATGTGGTTAACAGAACAAACAGCTTCTGAACCTTGCTTCAGATGTCTAATCTCAAATTCATTCAGAACTATTGAGAATGAAACAAAAGCCCAAATTATGATCATATCGTAAACGACATCAAAACGTTAACATGTTACACGAGCGAAACCACAATAATACCCCAACCCATTGTTCGTTTACGCATAACCGCAAATAATTATCGTTGTTTTATGAATGTGTGTATATAAATGGCAAAAAATCTCAAAAAATAAACTCTGTTTACTTAGTCCAATATTTTATTGCCATTGTTTTTCTTTTGTACCTACTTTGATTGTTGGTCTTAATGAAATTTGTGTGTGTTTGTAGAGTACATTCATGCCGAGAAAAATGAATGATCTTGTGCCCTAAAAAAACAAGACGTTTTTTTTTGTTGGAAGACACCAATAAACGTAATATTTTATACCCCTCATACTTAACCCTATCTTTATCTTAAATCCACCATTGATGCTCAAGCGTTTACAAAAAAAAAGTACCTTGATACCTGCACTTCATTTCAACCATTTGTGCTACTAGCGTATAACTCTTTTTTAAATAGTCAATATCCGCCAGAGATAATCCTCTTCACTCTCTCTCTCTCATTCTCTGTGTTTCTATCTTTCTCTTTCTTCCTTTCTCTTGTCCGGGCCAAAGATGATAGTAACAACGATTTTTACACAATTACATTCAATCCAGGTAAAAGTAAATTGCAAATATAAATGCATAGAGCACCCGGAACGAAGAAACATTCCTTCCTTCTAAGAAGGATTTGTCGGTTTTGAGCAATAAACAAATTTTATGGCCCGAAATTTACTTAAATTATTTTATTATCAAGTTATAATTACTTTCTATGTTTAACATCTGCATTTGTTTGAATGGAATTTTAGTAAATCATTCATTAGTTTATTCTGTCTTCACTTCTTGCAGTCTTTTTGCGACTTCTTTTACACAAATGCATAAAGATCTTTGTACATTGCAAAGCTCTATCTGTTGACGAGAAGGAGAACATTTTTCTATCCATTTTTCCATTCTTAATAAGAATAATTGTGTGCCAATGTTAACGATAAGAAAGAAAAATATGATTTCTACGTCAATTTATTCATCGAGAAAATTTGCTGACGAACCCCACGCAATTTGGGAACTATTCAGGTCATCCAGTTTTCAAATTAGCTAAATGAGAAAAAAAGACAAGTGGATTGGCACGTGGAGTATTGAATGCAATTGAAATCTGCGCGACCGAACCAATTCGTGCGGAAATCAATTCGAATCTATCTGAAGCCAAGAAGAACCGTACCGATTTTGTATCGTGGGTGGATTTATTATTTTTATAGATCATCGATTCGATTGCTTGTTAATTAAAACGCGCACTAGACATATCATGCTTATTGGTAGCAAAATACACTCATGGCCAAAATAAATGCTTGACGGTGCCTGATAAAGCAGTATAAGACAGTTATAAAATAAGATTGATGAAGATGATTAATACACCTGTGAAAAAAAAAAATTACTTTTTTTGTAAAGCAAACAATAATGACGAATGGAATCACCAAACAGGTTGTTTCTCTACATTTCAAAACTGAAGTTCAATGCGATTCGAAAAAGACGGCTTTTTGTTGTTTTTTCTCATCTTTTTATTGTTGCACAAGTTAAAAATACGTTCTAAATCGCTAAATGTTAAAAATAAAAAATAATAACCATTTTGTTGTATGAAACACCAAAATTGATTGATTTATGAAATGTGCATCGTTTAAAAAAAGTTATTTTCAGCTAGATAACTGTATCTCAAACAATTATATCCGCACAGATATGCTATTTTTTGCATCACACTTGGATTTTCATTATTTACGACCAACGATAAATTTTGAAAAGTGTTAAATTAATAACACGAACAAATAAAAAATATTGAGATTGGCTTATAATAGTGCACACGAGTCGAAAAAAAAATGTTATTCATTCGTTATTGTTTTATGGTGTGTCTCATGCGATGCCATGTTTATTGAGTCATCAAATCAAGTGAAAATAGAAAAAAAAAATACGAAAAAAGAGCGATCGCAAGCAATTGAATTTGAACCTTGGTGTGGTCGAAGGTTTTCTGTATGTAATAGGAAAATCCACATTGCTTAACCATCTTTCTGTCTCTATCGTCGTCGGTCGATACAGTTTTTAATTATAAAATCAAAACAACGGTATTTGCGGTCACCATCGGACGGTTGTACCTTCCATTGTACAGTAAATACGAAAAAAATAAATAAAACAATGCATATAAGTGTGTGTATGTAGTGCAGCACTTGCACAGCATCATCGTTACTGCAACCAATTTTGGTTGACGTAATCGAACAATTATAACTTCGTAATCTAACAACGGTGGTCGTCATATGAATTTGAATGCGTTTTTGTTTTAGAAACTAGCAGCTATTATCAATGCGATACGGTTGTATCGGTGTGTATTGTTGTAAGTTGCGCTGCGTGAATTCCATCAGACAACATACCCAATATATAGTGAGACTTTGATTTGGTATGCGATGAATCATCATTCAAAAATATTATATTGGTGAGAGATTTTCTCGTATTAATTAATATACATACGAGCCGACTGTTCGGTGCTAATGCGTGTTTTTTGTTTGGTTACTATTTAACCGTAAAGCCAGTTTATCGATTCAAATTCTCGGGCAGCAAAGCAAATTCAGTTTATGATCAATCGAAATCGTAACCAGAAATTTACTTTTTCTTAACGACTTTTTATTTGGACTGTCTCCACTGATTCTCTCTATTTTTAAGTTTGACATCACCTTTTGGAACATTGAGCTCGAAATGAAGTCCCACTATTATTTTCTTTAATTAGTTTCGTATGTAAACAACTACGCATTATCATATGATCATATTATCATTTTAATTAAACGATTCTCTTTTATATTATAGAAACCAGCGATTGTTTTATAATTGTTGTGTGTTTGCTCATACTCTCAATACAACAAGGATTCGCTCGTCCAATTGATAATACAGCTCGTCCAGAACGTCCACATAGTCCAGATAACAATATGTCTCTTCAAGAAACACTTCGATCACCATGTACGGCGGAAGAAGATATGCCACAGAAAGTGGATCATAATCAAGACAATATTAAGGGAATCCTTACATTGGTATGGAGACAATCAGGCATAGCCAAATCCAATGGCTGGAAAGACGTTGAAAAATTTGTAAGTAGAAATATCGCTTTTTATATTTATCGCTTTTCTTTTTATTCAATTCAAAAATATGAAAAAAATTTGATGTATGATAATGTGAATATTCATAAGAAACCTGAATTGTACTATATGTGTTGTATATAGACAGCTTGGCGACTGTGTTTAAAAAAAGGCAAACAAGCACATCGCTGATAACACTAAAATGTTACATCGCACACATTTTCTTTTAAAATAGTAATCTACGCGCACATTCTTTACCTATCTCTATATTGAAACCACGAAAAAAAAAACCACAACAATAACAATTACTATTTGAAAAAGTAATCAATTCACATTTACAAACGATTTGAAGATAAATAGACAGACAAAGAATTTAAAAAAATGGAAAATGATGAGTGAAATGTGTCGCTAAAACCAAATTGAATACACCATCGAAAAGGAAATAAAATAGCGAACATCGCTATGAATACAAATTACGTATGAGATTCGGATATTTTTCATTTTCCTTTCTCAAGAGTAAAGCGCATTGTTTTTTCTTTCCCTCTTCCTCTCCTCTTTCAATCTAAAAGGTTCAACGTGAAGAAGTGACACGAGAGAGAGAAAAAAATAACATCTGTTCGCTTTATGCGCATGCATAGTGTCATTGCACTGAATAAATTGTCTTGTACAACAAAAAAAAAACGATCAGAATACCATCGTTATATTTACTTGCATTTCTCACAAATTTGTTATTTGATGTAATAATGTTATGTATTCATTACCTGTCGTTTGACTGTGTGGCTTTGTTGATTTTCGCGGGCGCATACACACGCACAAACGTCATTCGACGGAATTGCGTGTGCACAGTGGAAAATGAGAGCCATTGGATGTTAGAGAGAAGAGCGATTGTCAACAATGTTGTCGATTAGAATCATGAATATTGACCCAAACGGGTTTGTTGTGTCAATAGTGTGGCCTTTTGTGACTGATTCTTTCACGTATTTTTTTTTTTGTCTTTTATTCTCTTGTTTTTTGGATGTGTGTATATTAGTTTCCCTATATTAAGCGAGAAATAATGATTGCCGGTGTACTGTATGTGCAATGGTAAATTTGAATGTCCATTCTCTAGTTCATTTTAACATTTTTTTTAAATGTCGTTTTTTATAATAGTTTTTGTAGCACTTGTTACTGATCTGTCTCGATGTCTTATGTATGTTGAAATCGGCGGTTTCACTCAAACATACCGGTCTCATCATCTCTTTATTTTGTAAATTTTAATATACACACAGTCATTTGTGTATTTATTTCCTTCCTCTCTCCAAATTGATGGTACCAAAAAGAAAAAAGAAGAAGAAACAAGAAGAATGTGTGCTCGTGTCAAATAATGTTGTCAATAATTTGCTTTAAATGTGCTTGATTAACGTGTGATATTTCTCTCGTAGATATCCCTTTGCCCTCATCCAGAACATCCCCAAAACAACACCAATCAAGAGGTGAATTTTTGGCATGCTGTTTTTGTTCGTTCATATTAATGTCATGCTTTGGGAAAATGCGCAATAACAATTCAATCGTTCAGCTTTCCATTTATTCATAGAATAAATAAGACATTTTTGCATGTGCTTTCACTCATTAAAATATATATCTTATACATTCATTTGGTGCTAGGCCATATTATTATATAATTACCTATTCAATAAACTCTGTTCTGCTCTATTTCAATAATTCTATATTAATATTGCATGTCTCTTCAAAATTGGGAATGGCGAATAATTTTTTTCCTTCTGTCTTCATTGCGAACTAAACAAATATGCTTTAAATTAGAAAATAAATACAAATATCTTTCGGTGCAAAAGCTATCAAATTTTCGATTAAATTATAAAACAAAATGAAACAAAATACAAATAAAGCATCAACATGATGTTTGCATATTGTCTCTGTGTTTTCCTTACAAAGGTTGTCAAACACAAAACAGATTTTTTTTTTGTGTGTGAATGACGCAGCATAAATAAATGTCATTAACGAGACTCAAGTCACATCAGCAGAAAAAAAAATTCACGGCGAATAATTATTAATGACATTTGTTCAAATTTCGTCATTAAAAAAAAAAACTGTTTTATGTTTGTCCGCTTGTCCCTTTATTTCTTCATTTTAATTTACGCAATCGATTACTGTTGGTGTCATTGGCTATCATATGCGTCATTGTTATGACGTTCATGCGTTTCTTCATCATTTCATGCTTATCATCTGTGCTTTTAGTTAATTTTTGAATTTCGCCATATCTTTTCCTACCAATTTCATAACTAATTATTATTGTTCTATATTATTTTATAGTTGCAAATTACCGAGAATGCCGGTAGTGTTAGAGATTTCCATTATAGATGGAGATTTATGGTCGAAAATTGGTTGTATCCACAGGGAAAACTACAGAAAGAATTCCTTGAACCGGTTTCAGAGACTGAAAAGGAACGCTTCAGAGAACCAGCAAGAAAATTTAATATGGAAACTGTAAGTTTTTTTTTACTTTTTTAATGTTATCATATTGTTCTAACACAAACACCTTTTTCTTTAATTTACAGCCGATGAAAAAATTGTTTATTGACCGATTGACCAAACTATTGCTTGATTGTGATGAACGTTTCCAATTGTTGTTGATAGGATTCCATAACATTCTTGATGATCATAATAACAAACGATCCACAATGGACTTGGAAAAGTATAATCCATTGCAAGAGATTTTTACAAATGCCAAAAGAGATGCGAAATTACTTCTATGCGAAATTCGAAAAGCTTTGCATAAATTGGGCGCAGAAATCACCATTTTGAATCCGGATGAGGTTGGAGGCGCAAAGGCTCCAAATTCCAATTTTTATGATTGGGTCATTTTCCGTGAATACATGAATCAAGTGGAGCATGTCAATGAAATTTCCAGAATTACTCTTAACGAATTTTAATTTTCTACACCAACTGCACAAATTCAAACGAGCTCCACGTTTTCAGAATTTTGGTGGAACAAATAAGCATCGATCGAAGGTGGCTGTTTTAACAGTGCTGCATACTCTGTTAAAATTGGCATTTTAAAACAAATAACGAACATAGTTCATTTATTATTCAGCCTATATAGCTATACTTAATGATAATAATACTTTGCCAGATTCCATTGGAAGAAAAAAAAATTAAACAACATGATGCTATTATGTATTTAAATTATTTAATGTACCCATAATATATGTCCTCTATTTATATCTGTGTGTGCTCCATAAATGTGTCAATTAGATCATTCATTTCCTTTCCTTTTTTTTTGTTAGGCCAAATTATTATGATTTGTCAAGTTTCAACCCCCGCAAAACATTAGTGCGTTTAACATTTGTATAATTGAAAAAAGAAACTCATTTTATTTATTGACATTTTTTTAACGTATGGAAGAGATTTTATCCACATTCATTAGCATCTTTTGTAAATACAATCTCAAATCAATAGAATCGACAATTAAGATCAGGCATATTTTTATGTATATTTTTATAACTATTTTTTTTTTTTTTTTGAATTTGGCAAACACTCTTTAGACAGCTGAGTTGATATTACACATATACTATTCTAATATTAAAAAAAGAATTAACAAAAGAAAGTCCAGTGAAATTACAACAATTATCGAAGTTTATTTAAAGAGAAAAGAAAAATTCAAAAGGCGGTTAAATACTTAAGATTTGATGAAATTAGTTTTATCATTCAAATATGAAAAAGTACATTTTTTTAATATTGAAATGATCGAACTTTTTTCCCATCAAATCAGACATATTATTTATTTAAGATATTTTTGTGAAATGTTTCCCTTAATTTATAATTGCCAAAAACCCATATTGCTTAACCTTTTGCAACAAACATAAAAGAAGAGAGGCAAAAAAATTAGAAAATTCAGTCAGAATTCGATCGTGTGACTGTAGACAAACAAAAAATCTACTTGCAAAGCTAGATTTTAACAGAAAAGGTTCAAGCTGTGATAACGATAACGATTGCCGTATATAAAGAATTTTATTTAAAAGAAAATCAATCAAAACAATCTATTTTCATATTAATTCTCTTTTCGAAATTCAATTTTCTTTGCTAAAAAAAAGACTAAAAGTTCACTAATTTTGGTTTAGATATTTTCGATTTGTACACATAGACTTAATTTATTTATAACAATTGCTATTTTTTTATTATTATTTTTTGTCAAATTTCTTGTAATTTATTTAATTTATGTACAAACTTAGCAAACTATTAAAATTTAGCACATAATTCAATTAAAATCATATAATTTGTATTTTTATTTTTATTTTATTTTTTACATTTAAATTGGATGCCATCATGTTTCACTTTGGAAAATCGGCCCCGAAGATGTATTACCACACACAGCCAATGTACAATTAAGGACTTTATTCAGAAAAATAAAATATGCACATGCAAAGAAACATTGTAATTAATGTATGTAAGAGTTGAGCGAAGCAGCTCATTAGCGTCGATAAAATGCTATACTTTCATGATGAACAAAATTGTATGTGTTGCAGGCGATATTAAAGTAAATTATCACTGTCAACATACATACTAATTTAGTTCGAAAATATGGTGTATAAATTATAATTGTTTACATTTAAAAAAAAAGAGTTATAATAATTGCATTGCGTGCACTTGTCATGAATCTTTCTCTCCATCCCCCCATCATTATTCGATTTAACCATATTCAATGTATTATGAAGTGTCCTCCAGCGGATTTCTTTCGTTGACGGTAATTATTCAGAGATTGTCCAACGCACACTCAAAACTATATTGACTGTGACGAAAAGAGCCTGTCTCGATACCTAGGGTTACATGCTTAATGTGATATGAATAAACATTGCATTTCAATCACGGTAATATTTTATGAACGAAGAACAATCTGGTTAAAATAAATCCAAATCAAACAATTATGCATTTTTTTGTGCAATATATTTTATTTTTTGCCTCTTTTTTCAACTTGATGACGTATCGATAGATATTTGAAAGGTAAACGCACCGGCTTGTTAAAAGAATCTATAAGAAGAGAGAGAAAAAAGAGCATTTTTTTCTCTTTTTTTATTGTAAAAACTGTGTTAACACGCTGACCATAGCCAGCCATTCATAAAGCAATAAAAAACAGACAAACAAGGGAATATCCGCAAAGAAAAATCATCACATTGACAAAACCTAGTTCCGAGAAGGAATCGTCATCCATCAATGAGGTGCAATGCCATATTTCATTGGGAACACATACACACATAATTTTCTATTTTTACTTTAAAGTGATAACAGAAGACAGAAGAATAGGAAATTATGTTGTTAGGTAGGCAAAAGTGTAAATTTTGTTAAGATTTGCAATTTGGTTCGCACAATTAGAATTTCGATTTTTCCAAAAATTACTTTTTCCCCAACGAATCCTACTTTGTTTTTATCAAATATGAAGAAAATTGTCGAAAAATTATTGTGACTTGTTTTCTTTTGTGTTTATTTTTCTAATTGTTTCGATGAAAATGTCATAGAAATTGTAAAAAAAAACTACATTCCTTTGATGTTTGGCATTTCCTCCGCGTCTTATCAGCATACACCGGATTATTTTGCACAACTCCATCTTTGTGTCATAAATTAAGTAATTTAAAGAATAAAAAAAAGGAATGTTTCGTTTTTCTTTCTCAAGCAAAACGAATATTCTGAAAAAGCGCACACACAAATTGCACACAGGAATTTCAACCCACAATAAAATTGAATAGAAGTTTATAATTTTTCCAGTGAAAAAAATAAACAAACTAACAAAAAGCAAAACGATTGCCATCATATATATATGGTTTGACTTTTTACGGCATTTCCGAATGCACTAGGAAAGAACTGAACAAATGTGACGAATATTCAAAATGGTAAAGAATGAAAGAGAGAAAAAAAAGTGTCCGGCCAAAGATACCATACCATACTCCATAAATATCTCAACGATTTCTCGGAAGCTGACACTGATTAGAGCAATAATATTTGACAAGGGAAAAATATGCTTAAAATAGAGCCAAAAAGCAAGGATAGAGCAAAGTATGTAACACAAAACACGTTTACAACTTAATTGCTTCATTGACAACAAATACGCATATTTAACAAATGTGAGCCGGGTCAATGCATAAACACATTGCATTGTGCAGTGTGCACACATGTGATTTTTGACACGCAGCATTTTTGTACAAATGTATGTATGTGTGTGTGTGTGTGTGTGCGAAATGGCAGGAGTTAAAATGTGTGTCAAACCATGTGACCAAAATACATTTACAACTAGCTGTTAATGGCTCTGTACAGCCATGCACATATATATTGGGCGTCAAAAAGGAATATGAATTTTCGCTGAAAATTATTGGCACCACAATATACAAATATATTACGATGTAAATGACAGCAAAAGAGCAAAGTGAACATTTTGCGTATTTTTTGAGTTTCTTATCACGGTCCGGGTTAAAAAAAATAGTTCATTGCTTTATTGCACTGCATTTCTATTTCATTTTTGCTTTCACTTTAGGTTCGGAAGATTTGTGTTTCTTCTGAGAATCGTATCAAAACTAAAATATCGTTTCAATTTATTTTACTAATTTATTTTTTATGACTATAAATGACACGAATCCCATTGGCTGTTGTTACCCAATCTCACACGAAATACATGTGAGCGTGTGTGTGTGTGTGTTAAATGTTGTTGATGGCGCCCTAATCGAGAAATATTTTCTCATGCCAGTTGATCTGAAAAGCAAATGAAACGAATGTGTGAAATGAACAAATAAGAGAAATTCCATTTGAAGGGGAAGATGAGCGTTCGCTGTTCAATTATATGCCACTAACTGGTTAATTATTTGTGCTAACAAACTGTTCCTCTGCACGGAATAATCACACAAGTAAACAAAGTCAAAAAGCGGAGAAAATGTCACAAAATTCAAAAACAAAAGAATCAACAAAAAACCAAACAAGAAATATTATTTTTATTCTTATATTCGTATAAGATAAAAAAAGAAATATGGAAGTGTCAGTATGTCTTCTTTTTCAGTTCGGCGTTTTTTTGTGTGCTATGTTCCGTTGTGACCGCACTTTGATGCCACTTGTGCATGAAATTTGGGTACTGGTGTTCGTTGCACATCATTGTTAACTAAAACACCGTATACACTGTGCACACACACACACACACACACACACACACAGGTGAACACTGAACATTTCTGAGTTGCACTGTGTTTATTCAATTTTTCACATTTATATGCACATATTTACTCTTTTATCCATCATATCGTTCGGTCTTTGTTCTCTTAGTTTGGGCCTTTGTTTGCAGTATATTAGTATTTTGTTCGATGCTAGAAAATGAAATATGCGAGATAAAATCGTCCATTCCATCGGAAGGTTTCTTTTCTCCCCTTAAAAAAAACCCAAAACCAAACGAAATGAAGACATTACATTTTCCAAATGCATAATTTTTTATGATTACGGTAACGGTTTACAGGTTTGTTTGGCATATATCGTCGTTTGACGTTGACGCGGAACACCAATGACGATGTTGATTTAACTATTTAGATGGTTTGTTGTTTCTTTTTTTCTGTCATGTATCACTTTCGTGTTTTGTCGTTTTTATTGTCATTCGAAGTGCTTAAATCAATATTTTGTTAAACCGCATTATTGTTGTTGTTTGATCTCATCTTCGGGGCCTTTCTAAGCCAAACGTGTGCGCACAACACTCTGTCTTTGTCATCGACAATTAAATTGTCCACTTCTTTATGCATCTCTCCACAAGCCAAACAACGGCTATTTTGTCTCTCTCAAGTACTTTTGATGGTTTAAATTTGTTTTTTTTTTTTTGACAAAGTGTGCAACAGAACATCTTTATATATGTGTTTGGTAGGGAAAAAAGTGGCAAAAATTGTGCATACAGCGGAAATTTTTAGTTTAACATTCGTTCAGAAAACAAATTAAAAATCCGTTAAATTGCAAGAATGTTTTAACAGTTTTGCGGTATTTATTCAAAACAGATTTGGGAACGGCTAAACAAAGCTGTTTCTTTTTCAATGCAAGCCATATGATACTGTTTCTTTTTTTTTGGTATTTCCGTAGTAAATTTTCATTGCTCACCCAACATTTACTTTGGCTATATTCAAAAACATTTCAACAGACAATATATTGGGCTGAATATTCATTTGAAATGAAAAGAAATAGCACGCTATTTCTGATAAAATAATAGAAGTGATTGTTTTAATTATTGTACCAACGTAAGTGTTTTATAACCAAAACAATCACTTCTATTGTTTTATCAAAAATAGCGTGCTATTTCGTTTCATTTCAAATGAATATTCAGCTCAATATATTGTCTGCATTTCAAACTCACAATGATCATTGCTCAGGTGCAGTGCTACAGTAGTTGTAACTACAAATACAGGGGGAGGAAAAATTTTTAAGCCTGACATATAGACGGCACTAGTTACAAATTGTTCTTGTGCTGTAATTGACGTACGAACTGTCAATAGTATTGCAGAAAAAAATTGAGTTGATATCTGTCGTCGTTTGTTTTCAACATCATTGCATACCAAGCAACCTCGATATTTTTGAAAAAATGGATAAAATCGAATATCGTGCGGTGATTAAGTTTCTCACAAAAGAAGGTGTGACACCAAAGGATATCAATGATCGCTTGCGTGCTGTTTATGGGGTCCTTGCCCCATCGTATGCCACAGTAAAACTATGGGCAAAACAATTCAAGTGGGGTAGAGAATCATTGGAAGATGATCCTCATACAGGTCGACCAATTGAAGCAACAGCTTCAGATGTAGTGCAAAAAATTGAACATCACGTGCACGAAAATCCTCGAATGAGCAAGAAAGTGTTAGCAGCAATGTTTGACATCTCAGAGAAGAGTATTTACAACATACTTCATGAAAAATTGCACATGAGAAAGGTTTGCTCGCGATGGATTCCAAGAACGTTGAACAAATCCCAAAAAGAAGAACGAATTGCTGCTGCACACGAGTTTCTCGAGTTGTTGGAATGGAATGAAACGGACACATTTGAGGGAATAGTGACTGGCGACGAAACCTGGATCCACTACTATGATCCAGAGCTCAAATCACAGACGATGGAATGGCACAAACGTGGTGAACCAGCATCGAAAGTGCCACGCAAACAAATTGCCACAAACAAAGTAATGGCCTCTGTATTCTGGGATGCCAAAGGCATATTATTGGTTGAATTCCTTCCAAAGAATACCACAGTCACGGGCTATTATTATGCACAACAAATGCATAGATTGCGTAAAGCGATCAGAGAAAAGCGTCCTGGTTTGCTCACTCGAAAAGTTCTTCTTTTGCATGACAATGCACCGCCTCACAAATCATTGCTTGCACAAGCTGCCATCAGGGAATGTGGGTTCGAACAACTCCACCATCCACCGTATTCTCCAGATCTGGCCCCCAGCGACTATTTCCTGTTCCCAAACACCAAAAGATATCTGAAGGGGAAGCAATATGAGTCCGAAGAAGAGATATCGAACGATATTTTCAACGTATGGGAGGACAAAGATGCCGAGTGGTTTGAAGGAGGAATT